ATATATATATATATATATATATATAGAGAGATATATATATATATAGAGATATATATATAGATATATATATATAGATATATATAGATATATATATAGATATATATATAGATATATATATAGATATATATATCTATATATATATCTATATATCTATATATCTATATATATATGAACTACCATTTTTGCATGATAAACGCCATAAATTATTAATTGTACTACCATTTTTGATAAACGCCATGAATTATTAACGGCCTATCAAATACCCACTTAGTTTACTTACGGATGTAAAATGCCCTATAATATATTGACCTTCTTCATGAAAATTTAACGTTTTAGAAAATGGAAGTAAAAGCATGGCAAGCGATCATGAAAGTAACGAGTCATTGCCGCTGGGGTTTGTTGGTGGGACCCGTTTGTACCAAAACGACCCAGCGTTATCTGTGTACAAGTGGGGTCTTATGAAAGGAATGTGCACCGACAAAGTAGTTGAAATAATACTAAAGGAAAGTGTGAATCGCGATCTGGTCGCCACACGGGTTCCAACAAACGTGGAAAATAACACAGTTTTTATCATAGACACAACAAAACTGTCCGATGAAGATGATATTAAGTGCGACGATCTTGGGGCTTGGCTATGTACGGGATCAAAGAAATTTGTGTAAACATTAGATGCGACAGGTAGCATTGGCAAAGAAGATGAAGTGGTCCAGGAAAGATCGAGTGATGAAGACGTGAGAGTTTACAACGTTCAATGCCAATTTTACAGCAACAAGAGCATGCCATCCCTAAAGAAAACAATCATAACTGCTCGTGATGCAGTTTCAACAGTCTCGAGCGATCTTGCGTTTATACAGTACGTTTTCACAGATGGTGAGCAAGAAGTGGTCGTAAAATGTCATGGGAATTCCAAAAAGCAAAGATGCAGTGCATACAAAAGAACAATGCCAAGCACTATGAACATGATAAAGCATACGCTGACCAAATTACCTGCGCGTGAGACCGTGCACAAAATCATCAACGAAAAAGGAGGCATCATGAAGATTGAGTCATCCGGAGAATTACCTTGAGATCGTACCCAGGTGTACAATGTTGCGAAAGGAATGAAAACTGACACGACACTACCTTCAATTCCTTACAGCGATCCGTTGTTGCAAGTGTTGGTAAAGGCAAAGGAAGAACAACAGGGAAGAACTGAAGATATTCTGATTCGAGAACTACCTTTATTTCCCGAACCAACTGTTTTTCGTGCTACACAGCAACAATTGATTGACATCGAGCGCTTCTGTACAAATCCAGAGAAGTTCTGTATACTTGGAGTAGATGCGACATTCCAGATGGCCACATTCTATTTCACTTTTACCACTTACCGAAACCTGATGTTAACGACAGAGAAAGGCAACCATCCAGTCTTTATAGGTCCTGGCATCCTCCATAAGCAGAAGCTCCAGACGTCCTATCAAACCTTACCTCTCTTGATGACCAAGTATCACAAAGGCACAAGCGGTGTCCTGGTTTACGGCACAGATGGCAAAGAAAATCTTGCCAATGCTTTCTCGCATGTGTTCCCAAATACACAGCATCTTTGCTGTGATATCCATATGAGAGAAAACGTCAAGCGTAAGCTTGCAGAATTTGGTATTACTGGCCATATTGGTTTAGAAATCATGTGCGATATATTTGGTAAGGAAGTCAACGACAAAGTGGAAGGAGGACTAATCCACTGCACCTCCGCAGATCAATTTGACAGTGCCCTGCAGTCGGCTACGTCGAAATGGATCAACAGCCACACGAATGGGCAACGATTTGTGGAGTACTTTTTGAAATCAAAAGCAAGTGTTATCCGAGAAAGTGCCAGATCTGACATAAGCTCAATGTGCGGTCTTGGATACCCACCTACTGTCTATACGCAGAATGCCAATGAGTGCATGAATCGCCTTATTAAGGCAGAAGAAGATCCAACGTTTTCCAAGAAGAAAGTTGCACTCCTTCCTTATATCGAGAGAATAAGAGCAGAAATCAAGCGGCAACAAAACGAGCAGTTCCTGGCAGTGTTTGGAAAAGGTCAGTACAGTCTGACAGAAGAGTTTTCTTTCTTGCAAGTGGAAGAAAAAAATTTCTTTCGAATGAGTGATCGACAGAAGACAGCGACAAAGAAACAGTCCTTTCCGTTTCAATGTCGGAGTCAAGACGAGGTGCAGAGGAAGCTTTGAATACTAAACGTCTATTGATAACCGCAGAAAACTCTGGAATTATAGAAATACCTTTTCCAACACTGGAAGGTATGTTCAAGAAAGCTGCAGACACCACTAATGACGAATCGCTGACATGGAAAATTCCAGCTCCCGAAGATGCAAATAATGACTCTTCATCGAAGAGTATGTTCTTGGTACACAGTAAATCGTCTCACGAACCGCACAGAGTGACAGTATCATCAAATGGAAGAGTACAATGTGATAAAGCCTGCGTGAGCTGGTGTACATACAGCTTGTGTTCACATAGCCTGGCAGTAGCCGAGAAAAATGGGATGCTGAAAGCATTTCTTAACTGGTTCAAAAACAGCAAGCGTTCCCCCAACCTAACCGGGTTAGTGAATGTCAACATGCCGAATAACGCTGGTAAAAAACTTGGAATGCGAAAGAGAAAAGGAGCGTCAAACAAGCCAACCCCGCAAGGTAAAACAGTCGTCTTTAACAGGCTTTTGCAACCAACACAGTCATCCATTGGCCATCCATCAACGTTCCAGACAGGAAGCTGTCACCTTTCATCTTTCCAATCAGCTACCAACCAATTTTCACCTTCGTATTCAGCTCTCGGACAGTTTCAACCGTGCCAAACTGCGCCTTGTCAGCCTGCATCGTCCCAGTCGGCTCTCAATCAACTTTCACCATACCAGCGTGGTCCCAGTCAACTTCCACCAACACAGTCAGTTCCCAATCAGCTTGTTCCATCCCAGTTAGCTCTCCATCAGATTTCGTCACTTCAGTCAGCTCCTAGTCATTCACCAATGTCTCAGTCAGCCATTGGTCAGTCGTTATCTTTCCAGACAAGCATCCATCAGCATCCACCGTTGCAGTCAGCTATCAACCACCTTTCATTGGCCCATTCAGTTTTTGGACAGCGTCAGCCGCATCCACAAGCTCCCAGTATTGTCACAGACATCAGTTAGTCGGCCCTTATCATCGCAGGGAGCTGTTTCAATTACCTTGATGAATAACCAAGCTAGAACGTCTCGAGCTGAACGCCACGTCCGTCCACACGAGTCTAATATAACCGCAATTCACGATGTTTCTTCTCCAACTACGGTACCCGCTATGTCCATCCCTGCACAGCCAAAACCAGCTCCTGGGCTTTTTATGTTTGGGCGATTGGCATTTTTAGACAACAAGGTTTCTCGCTGTTATGGCTGTGGAGAAGCATTAAAACCAGGAGGTTCGATACCAGATCCACCTGATGACCTAGTGGTCACCACCAGATTGAACAGACTGTATTATAATCAAGACGGCCAACTTCAAACTTCACCAAGAATTTCATCCGTGTATTTTCACCTTAATCCACAATGTGTCCGAGCTGCTTGCCCTCTCTTTGCTGTGACATCTTGTCAGATTCCGAACGATTTGGTTTCTTTCCTGTCTTTACAGCATCAGAAGGCATTGCTTGAACGCTTTGGTATCGCTTATGTCAGTTAGTTAATGACTTAATGCTGACGATGTCAAGACATCCGTTGAGTTTATAGTTTATTCAAGGACAGGTTAGTAACTTCTTACGCGAGGTCTTTACAGAGAAATATTGGACAGAGGTATTTTTTTGTACAGACCGAGCCCGTAGAGAGAGGTTTGTACAAAAAGACGTTAAAGACAGAGGTTTCGATCTATACATACCGAGCAATCGTGGTTAATAAAATGTTTATTATATGGCATTTGTAGGCATTTGAAAGAAGAAATTCATGAAATGCATTTTGAAAAAAGAAATGATTTGAAATACATATTATTATTTAGTAGCGTGGTGCACATTTGGTCGAAGAAAACAAAAAATACCAATGTATTCCTTCTTTTCCACTAAAAACCATTCGCAGATAACTTATTAATAACAAATTAAATTATAATTTCAAATTTTCAATTAGTTTTTCTGTTCAGTTTTAAAATACATGCGTTTGTTTTGCGCAATGGACCACCGGTTACGGAAAAATAATAGACCGCTGAAAGTGCTTCTCAGCCAATCAAAGTAGCCATTTCACCGGAAGTGATACTTGCCATATAATAATGGACAGTTAATCTTATAAAGTGTCTATCTATAGTAAGGAAGACCAAGTATACGAAGCAACTTAATAATTAATTTAAAATTGACATTCAGTACGTCTGCGTACATTCAGTACGTCATACAAGTCGAATCTATGTGATATACATGTCATAAATAGTACTATATGTATTCATACACTGTAAAAACAGATTGGTTGAAATGAGCAATTTAAATTGGTTGTCTCAGACGCATTAATTTAACCAATTTTTGTTGGTTAAAACAACCAACAAATTGGTTAAAACAACTTTAAAAAATGGTTAAAAAAAACAATATTTGGTTGTTTTGACCGAATAAAATTGGTCAAAAAGAGATATGTCTGAGACAACCAATTTCAATTTGGTCATTTCAACCAATGTGTTTTTACAGTGTATCTTAAGAAGAAGCACAGAGCTTCATGATATAAACTTCTTTTTGCTAGTTGTAGAACGTCTGATGTCTTGTTTATGACCTCGGTTTTATAAACCGACACATGCGTATCATCAAGTTTGTATAGCAGTTACGTAATAGACAGTCATCGGCTTTGTTGTTTGCATCGATTAGAATTAGTCCTTCATTTTATATTTTGTCTTGTTTATTCACTGTGATTATTTAATTTTGTCTAGACCTAGTCTTTTTTCGCATTCAATACGCTCTTACCGTCTTTGTGAGATAGCACTGTGTCTAGCAATGTACTCCCACCCCGTGGACATCTCACCCCCACCGTGCTTATTCGATCACATACGCCAGAATACGAACTGTACACGACAAATCGTGTGCAAAAAGTATGTAATTTCGAGATCTTTGGGCATCTCGTTCGATACAACCTAAGTAATAGTAGATGAGTTATTAGTAGATGGAATATTTGAACGTAAATTTATATACATTTTTATATGAACACTGCACCGGAATGGCAAAGGCCTAAACTGTAAAGCTACATTTTTCGCAACTGCTCCTTCGTTAGGTTTAAAAATGTATATAAATTTTCTTTCTAATATGCCATTTACTAAAAACCCAATTACTGTAATTTCTGTATGACTGTATTTAACGCCTATTAAATGACTACGGGCTATGTGGCATACTGCAGAAATCATTGCAAGCAATCGTTAATAAAAAGTTTACGGTGAGTTAAAACAATGTCTGAAATGATTTGGGAGCCGATGCACGCGATTTTATTGGTCTTCATTATACTGATAATTTTGAGCCATTAATGCCATAACATCCAGTCCGCGTTTTACTAATAGAGTCCAGTCCGCGTTTTACTAATAGAGTCCAGTCCGCGTTTTACTAATTTGAGTCCAGTCCGCGTTTTACTAATTTGAATCCAGTCCGCGTTTTACTAATTTGAGTCCAGTCCGCGTTTTACTAATTTGAATCCAGTCCGCGTTTTACTAATTTGAGTCCAGTCCGCGTTTTACTAATTTGAGTCCAGTCCGCGTTTTACTAATTTGAGTCCAGTCGGCATTTTACCAGTCCAGTCTAGTCCGCGTTTTACCATATGCCATCTCGTTGGGAAATTTGTTCCATATGAGTTGGAATACATTTTCCATATTATTGAATAGATCACCCTGCTGCAAGTGGCTTAAATGATTACCATTTACTCGATTCCTTGTAGCACAAACTGTTAAGTAATGTTTATCTTCGGTTTGATGCTCTTGCGTCATATAATGGACTTGCTGCCGATAATCGATGTTGTCGATGGTGATCTTTTGACCAACAGGATGAGAAGGAAGTAGACCATGTCTTAACTCAGGCATTTGATCAATTTCAGTACAAGAGTCATCACTGGATTGAGATTTTTCAGACTCTTCGTCATCAATAGATGTTGGTTGTTGTGATTCCATCCACTCACGTTCTTTCTGCATCATGGACTTCACTGATTTATCATGACCCTCGCCATATTCCTCCAGCTTTCGATAAAGCTGAGTATGTGACACAACCAATCGTAATGACTTTAATCTACGCATCATTGGCTATATGTAAATAATATAAAATTTCAGACATGTTTGAATAGGCTAAATTTACAATCATGCCACAGGCTATGTAGTATATTCAATCAATTGCTCATTAATTTGAAATTGATACCATCTTGGTTTATTTTTCAAAAACACCAGGCAACCATACATTTTTTTTTCTTTAGTCTTTGTGATATTACGGTAGATACTGTAAAACTATTCATACTACAGGAAACTAAATTTTCAAAACATTACACAGAACATATTAAACTCGCTGCAAACAGCTAAAATAAACCAATGTGATACCCAATAAGACGCCATGTTCAACTCAAGTGACGTTACGTGAAAGCCGATAAGAGGGGTAGGTTAGCTTATTGATATAGGTGAAATATAACAGACCGGTAAGAAGCAGAGTAAAATGGCCTTCCAGCATAATGTTAGCATAATGTGAGCCTTTTCTGTCCAGTAAAATTGTCTGTCATAATTAAAATTAAAACACTAACGTAGGGTGCATTGAAAATTTGAAATGTATTTTAATTAATATAGGCTTATTAAGAAGTATTTGAGAGGGCCTGATTTGGAAAGAGGGGTTTGTTAATACACAAATTAATACATACCGACCAACTAGAATGATATAAGAAGATACTCAAGAGTAGTTGCACAGCATTCAGGTGCGACGACTTATTTCTCAAGATTACTGCAGCAGCCATGCCAAGAGAGGGGACCCATTCACTTCTTTTATTGCAGTTTCTATTGTTTACACAAGATGTACGCAAAATTGCATGGGTAAAGGGAGCTCTTTGCTCGAGTTCTTTTTCAAGCTTTTCAAACAAAAAGTCGAGCAGTTGATTTTTATTTGGAGAGCGCAAACAACTTGGTTTCTTCTTGGAGCATAAACTATGGCATTCATTATCAACATGCTTCACTGCCAGAATTTGTAGTTGCTTGCGAAGATTAAGGTTATTCCAAGCAGCATTAGCGATTTGCTTATATGTTCCACGTACTAGCATTTTACCTAGGGATTGTAGATCATTTGGCAAATTTCTTCCCCTTGTTTGGCTAGGATATTGTATATTAACGGTGACAACAGTGGATGTACTTGTACTTGTTTCAGCTGAAACCTCGACTGGGGTTAGGGTATCACTACTGGTTGTGGCTGCGCTGTTGGATGGAACTTTTTTTGGTGTAGAATGAGCAATATATAATGAAGTCGACTGTAGGATATCTCTTGATGAACAGTCTGAAACTGGTGACAAAGGTGGTATTAAGAATATAGGCTCTACACATGGTCTCTTTGCCGCATCTGCACGCTGAAGTGATTCCACCGAGAGCTCCGTTTCTTCCCTATTTTTCGCGCAGTTTTCTCTAGATTTGTAGATATTCTCTAAATTTTCTAAATGTTCATTCAATTGCCTGTTCAGATTTTCTAGCTTCTTGAGTTTATCCAAGCACGGTCTACAGATGTAAATTGAATCAATTTCTATGTTGAAAGGAAGCTTCGATAGAGATGTCCGTATATCAAATTTTGCCTTTCCATCGACAAGTAGGCGGTTATTGGCTTTCTGGATTACATTATGACAAAAAACACAGCTCATTTGTGTTATTATGCAAATGAAGAAGTATCAGAGATCAGAGTATGTTTCTATACCAAGCTGAACAAGTGCAGCATGAAATTTAACCACTCATAAACATGACGCCATTTTGTTTCTGCTCTTGTGTTTTTCTGCATAATTATCCTAATTATTCCATACAAGTTTTCGTGCAATTGTTCACAGACGTTAATTACGGGAGAATTTACGGCTGTACACAGGCTACACCTAAACAAACACGTCACAAACTCAAAGGTATGATATAAACTGCAATGGTCTAAAGAGTATCTCTCAATCTAATGAGCTCAAAGCCTTGCTTTCAATATTTCCATCAAACTACGCCATCTTCCGAAATGACAGAAATCGCAATGGTGGCGGAGTCTTCCAAGCAGTTAGATCTGATCTCGTCTGCACTGAAGAACCTGATTTTATCAATGACTGTGAAATAATCTGGACATCCCTTAAGTTAAGCAATTGCAAAACATTGTATCTGTCAGCATTCTATAGACCTCCCAACTCAATCACAGAGGTACTGGACAAATTCCACGATTCTATCAGTCGAGTATTTGACAAAAGTCTCACCCATCCCAACGTAATTATTGGAGGAGATTTTAATCTTGGTGACATTGATTGGGCATCAGATGAACCGGCTCCTCGTATCTCAAATTCTGCCTCACAGCATAATAAATTCCTACACCTGATTGAAGATTTCTCGTTATCTCAACACATCAAATCTACTACTAGACCTGCCTCTGACAAAATTCTGGATTTATTATTATCTACATATCCAAACTCTGTCCTTAACCCTACAACTGTCTCGGGCATCAGCGACCATCTTGCTGTTGTATTCGAAGTAAATTTGAAACCATCACGAGTAGTTAAACCCCCAAAAGGCATGTGGTCCAGATGAGATCCCAGCCAGAGTTCTGAAGGAAATTTCTCAGTCTGTATCATCGTGGCTTGCCTTTATTTTCCAGAAATCTTTCGATCACAATGCAATTCCAACTGATTGGTCACAAGCTCTTGTCACTGCTGTATTACAAAATAGTAGTAAGTCCAATCCAGCAAATTATCGGCCAATCTCGTTAACATGTATTTGGTGTAAAATTATGGAACACATTGTGCTCAGCCACATGGCAAAACATCTTTCTGCAAATAATATCCTAATTGCTGAACAACATGGTTTTAGGAAAAATCGCTCATGTGAAACTCAATTAATCTCGACGATTCATGACTGGGGAAAATCTATCAACTTGAGGAATCAAACTGATGTGATTCTGTTAGATTTTAAGAAAGCATTTGACTCCGTACCGCACGAGCATCTCTTGACGAAGCTCGACTACTATGGAATCAAAGGGAATACACGTACATGGATAAAAGCATTCATTACAAAGCTAATTCCACCCTTGGCCTACTTAAACGCATCTTAGGAAGCTGCTCTCCTACAGTTAAAGCTAGAGCCTATCTCAGTCTAGTCCGCCCTAAGCTTGAATATGCTAATTGCATTTGGAACCCTCATACTAAACGGGATTCTGAGAAGATTGAAATGATTCAACATTGCGCCGCAAGATTTGTTAATGACTTTTCCAGATACAGCCATGATTCCCTAATGATCAACAATTTAGGATGGGACACACTTGAACGACCTAGACTGCTTAACCAGTCGTGTGTGTTCTATAAGATCCACCAAGTCTGTGTTGATTTAAACTTCCCTCCTGAAGTGTGCCCTATAAAAAGAAAAACCCGACTTCCAAATCACCATCCCTTTTCAGCAAGTTTCTTGTAACAATGATATTTTAAAATTTTCATTTTTCCCAAGAACTATTGTAACCTGGAACAATCTCCCTTTTATCGAACTGCCTGCAAATATCAACGCTTTTAAAAGTGCTGCATTAACTGCATTAAGGGCATCAGCATAATTTTGGCAGGTCACTTTTATTGTACATTTTTACCTTTTAAAGTTTTTCATATATATAGTTCCTAGTTATTTTGTTAATGTATATACATATATATAAGTATCTCCTAGTATAGTGTAAGCTGATTTAGGAGTATGAGATTAAAGATTAAAGATTAAAGATCAACATCTTCCCAAAATGCAGGAAATGCCATTTCAGAAGACTTAATTTTTAAAATTTTTTCACAGAAGAACAAGATTTCAATTCACTGAACAGTCTCCCTAAATTTTACCTCGAGTAGTTGGAATGTCTGATTTATATGTATATAAATGCAGTAAGACTAAATTATTACATAAGACGTACTTAGTTATTGTTATTTTGTCTTGAATATTAGGGACCCTTAGCAAATAGGTGATGGCAATGTGATGACACAGCCAAAATGAACTCGTTCGAATATTAAGCAACTTTAAGATCAACATATGTCTTGTATTATCCGTTGTATGAATTTATTGCAATAATTTAGGAAGATTAAGACAGAGGTTTCTAGTTGAGAAGACTTCTACTAAGCCAATTTGGCGAGGACGACTTCTCGTGGCTTGAAAGGCAGACATTGTGTGCAAAACATGAAAATCTTTGGTTTGCTGTTGTAAACAGAGCAAGGACAATGTCTAAAATTCCCATGGGACCTTTAATTATGCATTTTCTTTCTACACTGTTATAAATTTCATTGTATTAATAGCTGTCGCCGTCCTGCTAGCTAAAGGTCCATATTAAGCCCTTCAACCCAAGCATATGCGTAAGCATCTGATCAAGCGCTATATACTGTCAATGTAGTAAACAATGTAGTTCAATATTATAGTTCTATAAATAGCGCTGCAAAGCTTGTACATTTCAATCACGCAACACAAATATTTTAGTGATTGTGATTTGTTCTAAATTGGGCGATTGATTTTAAATTAAGGAAATTGAAGGCACATGCATTATATTTTCTAACGATCGATATAGTCACATTTATTCAATACGTACTAGTTTAAAACATGAGCAGCCGATCTTTATCTGATATACAAACTCGAGCTGAAGGCGAGAGTTTGTATATCAGATAAAGATCGGATGCGAATCATCTTTTAAATTCATTGGCAAAGAAATTTTAAAAACAAACATTGTCTAAGCCGAGAAAATCAAAGCTGAAGTTTATGTAAATCAGGACAAATCTTTATCCGATTTACAAACATTGATTAAACATTCATTTCTTTTGTATTTTCCTCATGAATTATTAATGAGTTTCTTAAAGTCTGCATATTATCTGTTGTAAACAGATAATATGCAGACTTTAAATATTAGTCTGCATATTTCTGCAGTCTACACTATAGTTTATACTGACTGTATGATATTTGTCATTATGTTCTGTGAATATGTGTGGTAAAATTATATTTCTGGAAATGTAAACAGCATACTAAAGTGATCAATTAAAAATTCTGTAGTATATACAGACGATAACAATACAGACCATGCACGATAAAGGGTCGATGTGGGCCAGGCATTGCTTTATGGGCCCCTTATAGTGTGCACACCCCTTAGTGCTTTCTGGTCAGTTGTCATATCAACTTTGCACTATCCTTGGGATCTCTGAGTTTCATTTTGTATTGTATTATACAAAGTTTTCAAGCACGAATTTGAATAGAAAGCATTCGTACATTTGCATATAATACAAAGGAAAGTATATTACTACAGCTTTCGATGTCATTGATGTATAAAAGAAATAGCAATGGTAGACCAAAAATTGAACCCTGTGGAACTCCTGTAGTAACTTCATTTCAGTTGAACAAAGGGCCTTCACTCGAAACATTGAGTTTCTGCTTGTTTTTTAAGGTAGTAATATAACGACTCAGCACAGCATGTACCACAATGGGTATTTCATTTGGTTTGGTTGCCTCAATATGCTGTACCACAATGGGTATTTCATTTGGTCCAGTTGCCTCAATAGGCTGTACGACAATGGGTACTTCATTTGGTTCTGTTGCCTCACTGCACTTGTTTTTCATGTGTTTTTCATGTAACACGAGGCATATTAGGGTATAGTTTCTTGCCCATGTTCGAGTAAGCATATTTCACAAGCAAATGCATTGTTTCTATGTGAAATGTTGACAAACTTGGGCAACTCCTCAATAGACAAAAACCTTTCTCTCACGTTTGCCAAAATAAGACCACCATTTAGACATTGCATATACATGCTATCTCCAAGAATTAAAACATCAAATCGATAACTATGTGTCGTTTGTGAGTCATACTAGGCTGAGCCATACATCAAGATATATCCTTCAAAGTACACTCTGTGTTACAACAAGAAAGACTTAAAAACAGAAGAGTCTTATATTTTTATATTATTTATTAATAAAAGAAAACTAAAAGAACGAAGAATCAGGATAGTTTAAACTTATTTGTCTATTGACAATGAGACAGCTTTGCTTTTCAGACTTTGTCCTTTCAAACTTTATATATAATATAGTTCCTTTCCTTTAAGTCTTCACGACGACAATAACTTCACAATATCAAATTCTTCTTCTTTAACAACAACAACAATTACCTCTAAACTTTTAATTCTAAAAACTAGCTTAAGCTTTCGCTGCTTATATACTGTCCGCAAGATATTAACAGAACATTACATCATACTATTTTTAGATAATTACATAAGACGATAAATATAGCAAAACATGAGTTAGCATAATTACATAATGTCTTAATTAAGAATGTTTATGACGTGACTGACTTCACGTCACATCTGTAAAACTAACACTTTCCAGTCTTCATACTACAATAGTGTTGTAAAGATTTGGAACACAGTGTGCCAAGAAGTCTCACCTGATATTTTCCGTAATCCACACTTAAATGAAGATAGTTTACATTAATTACTGTTTCTGATGTAGACATAGCTTGTACGTGGTCATTAACTCATGACTGTCCTTCGATAGGACTTAATACCATAAGTAATATAAATGTGTGTGTATATTTAATTAACTCTTTGCCGACCGTACGGTTTCGCATTACATTACGACTTAATTTTTCTATTGTAAATATCTCGGCGAGTATTTACCCCCCTTTTAAATAGAAGCCACCATTGAAATCCTCACAAAATAACCTTTCGAACGGGGGTTCAAGTGCCGTCAAAACATTACACAAACCGAAACAATCATATATTTACTCACCGCACGGCCAAAGGTTCTAAATTTCATATCCAGAAAATCTTGAAAATCTCTTGAACTTTCCCGTCATTGTCTGAACGGCTATATGTGTAAATACTTTTTGTATTCAAGCGCTTTCGTGTACAAAATTTCGTTTGAATATGGCAAGTAAAAAAATTAATTTTGAATTTTTCAAGATGTCGGGTTTTACTCGCACTTGCGTACATTGCGCAATAATTGTCCAATAAGAAGCTCCTGTGGCCGGGATGACGTCAAACTTACGCGTGTAGGGGCAATTTGACCTGCAGAATCCATTTTTGGCATTTGCAAGGTCATATGATACAAACATCGCATTGTTTTGACGGTTTTCAGTCGTACTTCCGGTTGGGATTAACTCACTTCGAGCTCACAGTCGGACAAGAAATGGAAATATATTGATAAAATATACAGATTTGAAGATACAGGCTTGCAAATAGTACTCTAAATAGTGTTTTTGATGGGGATTCGAACAAGACTATAACAAAGACGATATGTTCGAAGGGACCAGGGTTATTTTCGGTGAAACGTATGGCTAGTTTATATTTTTGTTCAGACAATTGCGTAATTTGATACAATATGAATTTTCTGTGTTGGTGTTGTGTACTCAGGTGAATAATATGTTTGCGATGTTACTCTGAGTGCATATCCACACCGGGCGAGCTTGAAAAATATGCCCGGCCACGGTGGGATTCGAACCTACGACCTTTGGAATACTAGCCCAATGCTCTTCCAACTGAGCTACGCGGTCAGGACGGTTCGAGTAAGTGATATTTTGGAACAGTATCTAGTTCCTTCAATACCAATGTGTTCTAGTAATATGAATTTTTCTGTGTTGGTGTTGTGTACTCAGGTGAATAATATGTTTGCAATGTATCTCTGAGTGCATATCCACACCGGGCGAGCTTGAAAAATTTGCCCGGCCACGGTTGGTTTCGAACCTACAACCTTTGGAATACTAACACAGAAAAATTCATATTATTAGAACACATTGGTATTGAAGGAACTAGATACTGTTCCGAAATATCACTTACTCGAACCGTCCTGACCGCGTAGCTCAGTTGGAAGAGCATTGGGCTAGTATTCCAAAGGTCATAAGTCCGAATCCCACCGTGGCCGGGCAAATTTTTCAAGCTTGCCCGGTGTGGATATGCACTCAGAGTAACATCGCAAACATATTGATACAATATGATCGTGTTTGACTTCAAAGACCCATAAATCACTACAATGTTGATAATGCCTATACCTATAGTGACAAATTAGTTGAATCTTTTATTTCTGAATTGAATGGTGGTACTTCTGTCTTCATAGCATTCACTG